ATAACACACAGTGGACCTGGCACAGGGTGAGGGGCTATCAGACAACACACAGTGGACTGGCACGGGGTGAGGCTATCAGATAACACACAGTGACCTGGCACAGGTGAGGCTATCAGATAACACACAGTGGACCTGGCACGAGGTGATGGCCATCAGATAACACACACAGTGGACCTGGCACGGGGTGAGGGCCATCAGATAACACACAGTGACCTGGCACGGGGTGAGGCCACTGATAACACACAGTGGACCTTGCACGGGGGTAGGGCTATCAGATAACACACAGTGACCTGGCACGGGGTGAGGGCCATCAGATAACACACAGTGACCTGGCACAGGGTGAGGGCCATCAGATACCCACACACAGTGACCTGGCACAGGTGAGGGGCTATCAGATAACACACACAGTGGCTCCTGGCACGGGGTGAGGGGCTATCAGATAACACACAGTGGGACCTGCACAGGTGAGGCTATCAGATAACACACAGTGGACTGCACGGGGTGAGGCTATCAGATAACACACAGTGGACCTGGTATCGTGAGGGGCTATCAGATAACACACAGTGGACTTGCACGGGTGAGGGGCCAGATAACACACAGGGACTTGCACAGGTGAGGGCTATCAGATAACACACAGTGGACTCTGGCACAGGTGAGGGGCTATTATCAGATGTATCACACACACAGTGGCCCTGGCACGGGCCATCAGATAACACACACAGTGACCTGGCACGGGGTGAGGGGCCATCAGATAACACACAGTGGACCTGGCACAGGGTGAGGGCCATCAGATAACACACACAGTGGACCTGGCACAGGGTGAGGGCTATCAGATACACACAGTGGCCCTGGCACAAGAGGGGCCATCAGATGGGTTCACACAGTGGCCCTGGCACGGGGTGAGGGCCATCAGATAACACACACACAGTGGACCTGGCACAGGGTGAGGGGCTATCAGATAACACACACAGTGGACCTGGCACGAGGTGAGGGCTATCAGATAACACACACACAGTGGCCCTGGGCACAGGGTGAGGGCCATCAGATAACACACAGTGGACCTGGCACAGGGTGAGGGGCCATCAGATAACACATAGTGGCTCCTGGCACGGGGTGAGGCCATCAGATAACACACAGTGGACCTGCTGGCACGTGAGGGCTATCAGATAACACACACAGTGGACCTGCACGGGGTGAGGGGCCATCAGATGGGACACATAGTGGCTCCTGGCATCGGGGTGAGGGGCCATCAGATATCACAGTGGCTCCTGGCACAGGGTGAGGGCTATCAGATAACACACAGTGACCTGCACAGGTGAGGGGCCATCAGATGGACACACAGTGGCCCTGCACAGTGGGTGAGGCCATCAGAGGGAACACACAGTGACCTGCACAGGTGAGGCCATCAGATCACATAGTGGCTCCCGGCATCGAGGCAGGGCCATCAGATAACACACAGTGGCCCTGGCACAGGGTGAGGGCCATCAGATACCACACAGTGGACCTGGCAAGGGTGAGGCCATCAATAACACATAGTGGCCCTAATGTAAGAGGGCCATCAGATAACACACACAGTGGACCTGGCACAGGTGAGGCTACCAGATAACACACACATGGTCTGGCACGGGGTGAGGGCTATCAGATAACACACAGTGGACCTGGCACAGGTGAGGGCCATCAGATAACACATAGTGGCCCTGGCACGGGTGAGGGGCCATCAGATAACACACACAGTGGACCTGGCACAGGGTGAGGGCCATCAGATAACACACAGTGGACCTGGCACGGGTGAGGGCTATCAGATAACACACAGTGACCTGGCACGGGGTGAGGGCCATCAGATAACACACAGTGACTCAAGTACGGGGTGAGGGCCATCAGATAACACACAGTGGACCTGGCACGGGGTGAGGGCCATCAGATAACACACAGTGGACCTGGCACGGGTGAGGGCCATCAGATAATTCACACATAGTGGCCCTGGCACGGGTGAGGGGCCACTGATACCACACAGTGGACCTGGCACAGGGTGAGGCCATCAGACACAGTGGACCTGGCACGGGTGAGGCTATCAGATAACACACAGTGGACCTGGCACGGGGTGAGGGGCCATCAGATAACACACACAGTGGCCCTGGCACGGGGTGAGGGCCATCAGAATAATACAGTGCTGGCACGGGGTGAGGGCCATCAGATACACATGGGCACGAGGTGAGGCCATCAGATAACACACAGTGGGACCTGGCCATCAGATACACACAGTGGACCTGGCACGGGGTGAGGGGCTATCAGATAACACACAGTGGATCTGGCACGGGGTGAGGGGCCATCAGATAACACATAGTGGCCCTGGCACGGGTGAGGGCCATCAGATAACACACAGTGACCTGGCACAGGGTGAGGCCATCAGATAAACACACACAGTGGACCTGGCACGGGGTGTGAGGCCATCAGATAACACACAGTGGACCTGGCACGGGGTGAGGGCCATCAGATAACACACAGTGACCTGGCACACAGGGTGAGGGCCATCAGATAACACACAGTGACCTGCACAGGGTGAGGGCCATCAGATAACACACACACACAGTGGACCTGGCACGGGTGAGGGCCATCAGATAACACACAGTGGACCTGGCACCGTGAGGGCCATCAGATAACACACAGTGGACCTGGCACGGGGTGAGGCCATCAGATGTAACACACAGTGGCTCCTGGCATCGGGGTGAGGGGCTATCAGATAACACACACAGTGGACCTGGCACGGGTGAGGGCCATCAGATGAACACACAGTGGCCCTAATGAGGTGAGGGCCATCAGATAACACACAGTGGACCTGGCACGAGGTGAGGGGCCATCAGATACACACAGTGGACCTGGTACGGTGATAACATTACAGTGGACCTGGCACGGGGTAGGGCTATCAGATAACACACAGTGACTCAATGTGTGGGCTATCAGATAACATACAGTGGACTTGCACAGGGTGAGGGGCCATCAGATAACACACAGTGACCTGGTACAGGGCCATCAGATAACACACAGTGGACCTGGCACGGGGTGAGGGCTATCAGATAACACACAGTGGACCTGGCACGGGTGATTATCAGATAACACAGTGGGACTCAAAATGGGTGATGGCTATCAGATAACACACAGTGGACCTGGCACAGGGTGAATATCAGATAACACACAGTGGACCTGGCACAGGTGAGGGCCATCAGACACACAGTGGACCTGGCACGAGATGGCCATCAGATAACACACACACAGTGGACCTGGCACAGGGTGAGGGCTATCAGATAACACACAGTGGACCTGGCACGGGGTGAGGGCTATCAGATAACACACAGTGACCTGGCACAGGTGAGGGGCTACTGATAACACACAGGGACCTGGGTACAGGGTGAGGGGCTATCAGATAACACACAGGACCTGGCACGGGTGAGGGCTATCAGATACACACAGTGGCACGAGGTGAGGCCATCAGATAACACACAGTGGACGGGCACAGGGTGAGGGGCTATCAGATGCGGGACCTGGCACAGGGTGAGGGCTAACACACAGTGGCCCTGGCACGGGGTGAGGGGCCATCAGATAACACACAGTGGACCTGGCACAGGGGTGAGGGCCATCAGATAACACACAGTGGCACGGGTGATGGCCATCAGATAACACACAGTGGACCTGGCACGGGGTGAGGGCCATCAGATAACAATAGTGACCTGGCACGGGGTGATACATCAGATAACAATAATATGGACCTGCACAGGTAGAGGGCCATCAGATAACACACAGTGGGACCTGGCACGGGGTGATGTATATCAGATAACACACACAGTGGACCTGGCAAGTGGAGGGCCATCGATAACACACAGTGGACTCTGGCACGGGTGATGGCCATCAGATAACACACACAGTGGACTGGCACGGGGTGTGAGGGGCTATCAGATAACACACAGTGGACCCTGGCACAGGTGAGGGCCATCAGATAACACACACAGTGGACCTGGCACGGGGGTGAGGGCCATCAGATAACACACAGTGTGGACCTGGCACGGGGTGAGGCCATCAGATAACACACAGTGACCTGGCACGGGGTGATGGCCATCAGATAACACACAGTGACCTGGCACGGGGTGAGGGCCATCAGATAACACACAGTGACCTGGCACAGGGGTGGTGGGCCATCAGATAACACACAGTGGACGGGCACGGGGTGAGGGCCATCAGAGACACACAGTGGACCTGGCACAGGGTGAGGGCCATCAGATAACACACACAGGACCTGGCACGGGGTGAGGGCTATCAGATACCACACAGTGGACCTGGCACGGGGTGAGGGCTATCAGATAACAGTGACCTGGCACGAGGTGAGGGGCTATCAGATAATACACAGTGGGCTCTGGCAAGGGTGAGGGCTATCGATAACACACAGTGGATCTGGCACAGGGTGAGGGCCATCAGATAACACACAGACCTGGCACACAGGGTGGAGGGGCTTATCAGATAACACACACAGTGGCACGGGGTGATTATCAGATAACACACAGTGGGACCAAGGGGTGAGGGGGCTATCAGATAACACACAGTGGACTGGCACGGGGTGAAAATATCAGATAACACACAGTGGACCTGGCATGAGGTGAGGCTATCAGAGGCCATACGGCCAGTGGACCTGGCACAGGGTGAGGGCCATCAGATAACACACAGTGGACCTGGCACAGGGTGAGGGGCTATCAGATAACACACAGTGGACCTGGCACGAGGTGAGGGCCATCAGATAACACACAGTGGACCTGGCACGAGGTGAGGGCCATCAGATAACACACAGTGGACCTGGCACAGGGTGAGGGCCATCAGATAACACACAGTGGACCTGGCACGGGGTGAGGGCCACAAGGCACTACACAGCGCCAGAAATCATTAGGTTAGGGCCAGACAGTCGTCCTCAGTACAAAGATTAAAGGTGAGACGCCCACCTGCCCCGTCCCTACCAGGTCCCGGGTCCCTGTGAGAGCTACCAGGTCCCGGGTCCCTGTGAGAGCTACCAGGTCCCGGGTCCCTGTGAGAGCTACCAGGTCCCGGGTCCCTGTGAGAGCTACCAGGTCCCGGTTCCCTGTGAGAGCTACCAGGTTCCGGGTCCCTGTGAGAGCTACCAGGTCCCGGGTCTCTGTGAGAGCTAGAAGTCACCAGTTCTTGTAAAGGCTTTAAATAACAATGGAGATGATCATCCATCACCTTAACCTCCCCCCCCCCCCCCCTGCCTCACCTCTGTCAACCCCCCACCCGTCAGAATAGGCCAGGGACACCATCACCTGGCTGCAAGTTGCAATATGTTGCTCTCCAATACCACCGCCAGCTAACCTCACACGCAACACAGGTACACGTAGACAGGTGACCCCCGCCATCACAAGTGAGTCCTCGTCATAACACCACCTGTGGCACTGTTCCTACCCTGCTGGCACTGTTCCTAACCTGAAGTGGAATTCAAAACTTGACACTGTTTCTAGCTTGGCACAGATCCCAGTTTAGCAATGTTCCTATCTGGAATTATTTTGAGGTTGGCAATGTGCCTAACCCAGGGACCATTCTTACTTGTGGCACTGTTTCCACCCTGGCATTGTTCCCACCCTGGCACTGTTCCCACCCTGGCACTGTTCCCACCCTGGCACTGTTCCCACCCTGGCACTGTTCCCACCCTGGCACTGTTCCCACCCTTGCACTGTTCCCACCCTGGCACTGTTCCCACCTGGCACTGTTCCCACCCTGGCACTATTCCCACCCTGGCACTGTTCCCACCCTGGCACTATTCCCACCCTGGCACTGTTCTTACCTGAGAGTGTAGCCAACTTCAGGTGTTGCCGAAACTTACCTGTAGGAGATAATAAAGGTCATTAGCATTACAACTTAATGAAATATATCATAATTATGGTAATGTGTTAATGTAATAAAAGTCTCAGCAGCTCACTCTGACAAACCACCAACCCACCGGCCAAACAACGTCCCACCGGCCCCTGTCAGACAGCACGCCACGCCACGCACCAACGCCACGCCACGCACGCCACGCACCAACGCCACCAATGCCACCACGCACGCACGCCACGCACGCACCACACACGCCACCCCACGCCACGCCACGCCACACACCCACACACATGCCATGCCATGCCAACCCACACCCACTGCCATACCCACCAACTGAATGCCACACACACACGCCAATGCCACACACGCACGCACGTTAATGCTATTTCACGCACACCCACCCACACGTTGGCCATTTTAATGCATGCTGCATGTTGTTGTCGATCCACGATTACACAACATCATCAATACAGCAGGGACCCCACCCAACATTTCACCATTATAGAAAACTGAGTGACGTAGATATATTATGGTAGACTATTGTAAACAATATACTGTATATAATATATGCCTTTAGCACTGTATGGCCTCTACTGGCACTAATGGAGTAAATAACCTTTTAACAGATTATACCAAAGAAACTTAGTGGTGGTGGTGATGGTGGTAGTGGTGGTGGTGGTGGTGGTTGTGATGGTGACTGGTAGTGGTGGTGGTGGTAGAGGAATGGAGAACTTCGGTTCTGAGAAAGTTTGTTAAAAGCTGTAAGAAAGTTTAAGCCTCACAAACACACTCACAGCCTCACACACACTCACAGCCTCACACACACTCACAGCCTCACAAACACACTCACAGCCTCACACACACTCACAACCTCACACCTCACACACACACCCCACACACACTCACAGCCTCCCCACACACACCTCACACACCTCACACACACTCACCTCACACACACACACCTCACACACCTCACACACACTCACACACAGCACTCCCACACCCACACACACACACTCACAGCCTCACACACACTCACAGCCCCCACACACACTCACAGCCTCACACACACTCACACTCACCAACACACACACACACTCACAGCCTCCACAACACACACTCACAGCCTCACACACACACACACACCTCACACACTCACAACCTCACACACACCTCACACACACACACAACCTCACACACCCCACACACTCACAGCCTCCACAGCCTCACACACACACACTCACAGCCTCCACACACACTCACACACACTCAGCCTCAGCCCCAAACACACTCACAGCCTCACAACACACTCTCACAGCCTCACACACACATCACACACACTCACAGCCTCACACACTCACAGCCTCATACACTCACACCTCACACTCACAGCCTCATAAACACCTCGCACTCACACAGCCCCAAACACACTCACAGCCCATACACACTCACAACCTCACACACACTCACAGCCTCACACACACACTCACAGCCTCACACACTCACAGCCTCACACACACTCACAGCCTCACACACTACACCTCCACTCAAACACACAGCCTCTACACACTCACAGCCTCACACACTCACAACCTCACACACTCACAGCCTCATAAACACACTCTGCAGCCTCACACACACTCACAGCCCCAAACACACTCACAGCCTCATACACACTCTCTCCACACCTCACTCACAGCCTCACACACACTCACAGCCTCATAAACCACACTCACAGCCTCACACACACTCAACCTCACACACACCTCACAACCACAACCTTAACGCTAAAGCTCATATATCATAATTAACTCCTACAATAATTACAGTAATTCACTTTAATACAGTTTATGTAATGAGGAACTGTAACTAACCAAGGGAATTTATCTCTTAAAATAATTCTGTAACTCTTAAGGTAATGTATTTAACCCCCCTCTTCTCCCTCCTCAACCCCCTCTTTCTCCTCCTCAACCCCCTCCCTCCTCAACTCTCTCCCTCCCCCTCAACCCCCCCTCCCTCCTCACCCCCCCTCCCTCCTCAACCCCCCCTCCTCCTCAACCTCTTTCTCCCTCCCTCACCCCCTCTTTCTCCCTCCTCAACCCCCATCTTCCTCCTCAACCCCTCATCTCCTCCTCAACCCCCCCTCATCTCCTCCCTCAACCCCCCTCTTCTCCCTCCTCAACCCCCTCCTCCTCACCTCTTCTCCTCCTCAACCCCCTCATCTTCCTCCTCAACCCCCTCATCTCCCTCCTCAACCCCCTCATCTCCCTCCTCAACCCCCCTCTTTCTCCCTCCTCAACTCCCCCTCTTTCTCCTCCCTCAACCCCCTCATCTCCTCCTCAACCCCCTCATCTCCCTCCTCAACCCCCTCATCTCCTCCTCAACCCCCCTTCTCCTCCTCACCCTCCTCACCCCCCTCTCCTCCTCACCTCTTTCTCCCCCCTCATCTCCCTCCTCTCCCCAACAAACAAATCACTCAGGTCGCCATAATCCCCCCAAGAATGCCCCTCCCACCCCTTGAGGTCAACATGATCTCACCACTTGACCTGGTTCTCTGTAATGCCTTCACAGTTACCTACTACTACTAACACTACCACAAATAATAATAATAGTACAAATTACCTAACACAACAGAGTCCTCCAGCACCAAGTACTATATATCGCTAACTACTTAACCTATTGTCATTATTGGTTGTGTTTACATGGTGTGAGTGACGTGGTGATGACCAGTTAGTTTTAGGTTGATTTCTTTAATACACTAAGAGTATCATCCATATGACATACTGTGTGTACACCGCCATGTGTGTACACTGCCGATCAGTTTGACGTCAGTAGTGGGGAAATTTCTTGAATCAATTATAGTAGATAGCATCCGATCGCATTTAGAGAAAAGCAAATTAATCTACGACTCTCAACATGGGTTTACAAAGGGAAAATCTTGTCTAACAAATCTGCTGACATTTTTTAGGAAAGTCTTCGAGGTAGTAGATGATGACGAAAATTACGATGTTATTTACTTAGACTTTAGCAAAGCATTTGACAGAGTACCGTATCAGAGGCTTCTGAGAAAAGTTAAGGCTCATGGTATCGAGGGGAAAGTTTTAAATTGGATAAAATCATGGCTCACCGATAGAATGTAGAGGGTCAGCGTAGATGGTGTTAAATCTGAGTGGGGCTGTGTAACCAGTGGGGTTCCCCAGGGGTCAGTACTAGGCCCACTCTTGTTCATAATCTACATAAACGATCTAGATACTGGGATCAGCAGTGACATAAGCAAGTTTGCGGATGACACCAAAATAGGGCGGCAGATTAATTTAGGGCAGGATGCAAATGCATTACAGGAGGATCTAAATAAACTGCAGGGGTGGTCTGAAAAATGGCAAATGAAATTCAACACCAGCAAGTGCAGCGTACTTAATATTGGAAGAACAAATACTGACAATGTATACAGCCTTAACAACATCAACCTAGAGAAGTCGACTTGTGAAAGAGACCTAGGGGTACTTGTAAGCCCGGACCTACGGCCTAGAAAACAGTGCGTTAATGTTCGAAATAAGGCAAACAGAGTATTGGGTTTTATATCTAGAAATGTAAGTAATAAGAGTGCAGAGGTCTTATTGCAACTATATCTTGCGCTAGTCAGGCCGCACCTCCATTATGCGGTTCAGTTCTGGTGCCTTTATTATAGAATGGATATAAATTTACTAGAGTCGGTGCAGCGAAGAATGACGAAAATGATTCCGGGACTGAGAAACCTTCCATATCAGGATAGGTTAAAGAAACTTAACTTGTATTCCCTAGAAAGACGAAGAGTGCGGGGAGATATGATAGAAGTATTTAAGTGGGTGAAAGGAATCAATAAAGGGGATATAGATAAAGTTCTTATAATATCCGAGCAAGATAGGATTAGGAGCAACGGATTTAAGTTGGATAAGTTTAGGTTTAGGAGGGAGATAGGAAGAAACTGGTTCACAAATAGGGTGGTGGACGAGTGAAACAAGCTTAGCAACTTTGTAGTAAGTGCTGGAACTCTGGAAAGTTTCAAAAGGAGGCTGGATAGATTCATGGATGATAGAGAGTGGTAGTAACTCTCGACAGGAGCTGCCATGCACAGACCAACCGGCCTATTGTAGACTCCTTATTTTCTTATGTTCTTATGTGTGTGTACACCGCCATGTATCTCCTGCACCCCCTTCCATAATGAGGCGTGTTGGAACACTACGATACCTAACTTAACTTAACTCGGCACTACACACCAGCTTACAACATCACCATCTCTAAATATTTCCTTCATAAACCAACATTATAATAAGCGTAA